CGACGTGAATGAGGAATGCATTCGCCTTACAGATTGGTCCCGGCACGATCGATGGATACCCCACTGTGAGGCAGGTTAATAAGCTAGCCACAGCGATCCCTATCCGTTAGTTGTGTTAGCAATGGAGAAGAAGCCCACTCCGGGGTTATCCGGTTATCTGCGATCAAAGTCGCGTAAAGTGCGTGTGGATCAACGCGTGCTCCTTCCGCGACTCTTTGGTGAGTGCCAATCGAAAGCGGCAAAAGCGGCGCGCCGTTACAACGCTACCAACTGCACAATGAGGCCCGTTAACGAGAGGTATGTGTGTCGACTGGTGGCGGGATCTCAGTGGACACTTTGTAGCTAGGTGGTTCGGGTTAATCTTGTTCAGCAAATGGTTCAGCGGCAGTGTTCCAGGACGCGGTGGGTTTCTGCCTGGCAAGCGTACACCATATAAAAAGTTACATAGATCTGTCTAACAACACTGAGAAGTGGCGGATGTGACTCGTCACTAAATAAAATCACTGCTACTTGCCTTTTCGGAGGAACTTACACACATCACGTACGTCATCCAATTGGAAGTCTTCCTTCGATCTTGTTTCGATGGAGAATCCGGCGAGCAAAATGGCACATTCAGAATCACTCACTCACTCACTCAAAATGAGTACTCGCACGTACACAAACAACTACACGCATACATGCACATATATTACTGGTGAACCTGCAATTCTTCTGTGCAATTACCGATCACACATGTTTGTAGTACCAGGATCATGCATTTACAGGCGTGCCTCGCACTACCGAGAATAGACTAATTGTTTATTTATTTAATAGCATCCGGCGCTTGCTGCTATGTAAGCAAAACCACGTTGGGCATTTTGAACCTCTACTTCGTTGTTTTTTTTGCTCGCTTAACAAACTGCATGTAAATATACTTATACTGGATAGCGAATTATTTCACAACTAACTTGGTGCGATGAATGGTAGTGCCAATGCTTCATCGGGGTAAAATGAATACCAAGAGAATTGTTTGGAGAGAACAAGATGGTTACGCATATGACCGGATCCATGCAGTCTATCATGACTACCTCGACAAACCGCATGAAACGGGGACTAAAGAGACGAAAAATGCTGACAGTGAGCTCCGGTGATTCAATACCAGTAGATATTCATCTAGCGAAGAGGTCGTCGGCTTATGCGTGCATGGATTTTGTGTTCTGGAGACTACATGCTGAACCCATTTCGGCACATGTTCCTTTATTCGGAGATCCAGTCCTATCTGTTATGCCTAAGTATTTGGCTTCGCACTCATACATGAATTGGTATGCACAGTGTTGGCCCCGATATGCTTAACTCTGCGCCAATGCACACTTATAACACCGAGCGGCTACGACTCATGCCCACTACACAAAGACTTGCTATCGGACACCGTGCGAACAGTTGGTAATCTGGTTTGACATCACATGTAATGCTTCAATTCATCTGAGGTTGCTGTGACATCTATTCAGCCAGGACCAACGGGGATTGGCTTAAAGGGTGGCTGAAAATTTCCCTTAGTGGTTGAGACAAACCATAGTGCAACGAGGAGGAATATCTCGGATCATGAGCCTGAACTCCACCTCGTCTACCACAAAGCACTTCTTGACGACTGGCTATCACACGGATCCGTCGAAAACAGTTAAATTGCTATCGATCAACCGCAACAAGAAATAGTTCGCATTCTGTGGGGTGTTAATAATTACGGTGAACTCAAAGTTTTGTGTGCATAAAAACAAATGTAGCAGTCTATCAGATTGACTTGCTCATGGTCGTGAAACTATAATTCACTTATATATTTTCGTTCCACCTATGAATATGTTATTTTTCAAATGCGTTGCTCGTGCAACTAAAGAGAACTATTTACATGTTCACATGTCTCAAACTTGTTTCCTCTGTCTGCTTTGGCTAATTGGGTAAAGGGAATACATTGCTTCATGTAAGTTTCCTTTGTTGTAGGGACCGATAAAGGTCGGTTTCGGTTGATAACGATGCCTTGGGTAGTTTAGCAGCTTCCTTGCGTAGTGAAGACTTTACGCTTAGTTGTCTTCAGTGTGCTGGAATCACCTTTGAAAGGTGACCCATTAAAAACCTTCTTGGCTGCCATGTGCACCAAGTCCTTCGGCCTTTGCAGGTTATTGTTTCTCTGGATAACTCTTTGACGTCAAACGTTCGCCATAGCGTAGTTAACATCACCTCATCAGCCAGACGGACGATCGAGCCAATTCGTCTTACACGACTAAGTTCCTTACGAGTGTCCGGTTGTATCACACCTTTGTGAATCCTGTGAGTGCAAGTATTGGCCTTTCGGTAAACGGACCGCATGATAGATTCATCATCTCTGTGGCTGATGAAAATAATCCGATTGTAGAGGAAACCTGAATGCCATATCCTGTGAGACGTTCGCCCCGCCGAATAACCCCATCGCTCTGTTCCCCGCTGTCAATTACCCAACCTTCAGCTTGCCCCAACCCAAACCTTATATGTACTGGACTTGATTCAGTCACCCGAAGTCAGCTCTAGTCGCCGTTCACATGCACTTGGTGAATTTGGTTCACTACATTCAACCGCCCGTAAGTATATTTCGTTGCAGTTTATGTGCATAATCTCACTCTCGTTACATCTGGTTCGAGCAGTCGTATTATCGGTGCTCTTGGCTGTTTCAATTCTCCATGCATCTTTTTGGAGATTGATGCACGACACCTGTTTGTTAGATTAAAACTGCTGCTTGTAGCTCATGATGACTACCACTTATTGTCAGTGTCCTCACGTTTGTAGTGGTGGAGTTCAGAGTTGAAAACCTCGTCGTCCTTGCGCTTACTTGTGTTTCAACTCCTCTCTATGTACTGACGAACCGTAACAATGTCGGAGCATCACTGTGTGAGTAATGTTTAAATCCAACGCCTAAGACTCCATATAACATCATTTGTTTAGTCACATAACTTGCTTCATTGTGGTATAAAAAGTCGCGTAGTATAACAACCTTATTTTGTAAATACGACCTTTACAGCTATTTTTGTTAGCTATTTGGGGTCAACTGAATGTTAATTTTACGGGTTCTTGGTGAAAGCGCAAATTGCTGAAGCATTGTAAGATTGGTTTTGCTAACTGTTTGTAAATAGTATCGTCATCCAGTCCTGACTTTGATGTTTTGATTCCGGTGGAGACGCTTTGCCTCAAGGCTTCCAAAGGTCTTGTCGCTTACACAGAAATGGCAGACACTTGTACTGTTCCACTTCGCAGGTGACCCGTAAGTTAGCACGTGCTCCATTACGGCGCTGCACCAACTGTTCGTGTTGCTGCTCCGAGGATCAAAAGTCCAGAATAGCACATACGTGGCTTTTACTCTAAGGGGTTTGGGCGATTTCTATCGAAATGCTTCTTCCTATCATTAACACAAACAACAAGCTAAGAAAATACCACGCGAGCTGCTCATTGCCGCACTATTGATTTAGCGGTAAAGTATGTTCTGGAAGTAAAAACTAACCTCCGCGCGTTACTACGACTTTTTCAGTACTTCGACCGCAATCGGTATTGTAACGTATCTCTAGTCTGCTTGACCCCATACACCATGCCCCGTACTGGAAGTTTCTTTATTGGCAGATGCGCGCTTCGGGAGGACTCCTTTTCACCAATCAGAAGCAGTAAGTTTGGCTCAGACTAACTTTGCGTATTCTATCCTCAGCGCAGGTTGGCATGTAATGACTTTAGTGGGAATTACTACTTCCAACGGACTTTCATAGGGTAAAATAATGTCTAAGAAAATAATTTCACACCATTCTAGACATCGTGACCTGGATCGCCCGTACACACAAAGTGTTAGGGTCATGCGAAGGAGACCGTAAATAAGGCAGTTGCGATGACCCCCGGAATTGGATAGATCATCCGTGTACTCCACTCACTTTTGGTGTATGACGGCATCCAACGGTTTGGCTTTGAGGATGTACACCGAATAACTGGCCAAGAATGCGATGTACAGCATTAAGTTGAAATAATACAGCAAATTGATCTGATTCCATTTCACTCTGAGCAGCTCGGTGACTGCCGGGTGTTGAAGTAACCGTGACCTCTTGTATCTAATCTGCAGAATCAGATGCACAAGTGGAAAGATAACTGCTATTGTGTTTTTCAGCAAACTCGATGACTGATGAAAATGTGGACCATCATCATCATTCATTATACACGTTAGCCGCAGAAAATGTGGACCAATGAACTTCGGATATCCTTTCAATAAGGTAAGCTAAATAAAACCACTAAAACAAGAGTTCTATGTTTACTGTGACACACCTACAAGCTCATTCGAACTGGTATGCTGAAATCTTTACTTTACGGTTACTTGAGTACACGAAAATTAAATGAGGGTGAACAGATGCTCCTCTAACAGGATTTGATCAAAATGAATTTATCACCTATTGATTGTAAGTTCAAAGTCCCGTAAATAACAGTAAACATCGATCATGGAGTACCGCTTCAAAATCATGTCTCAAGGATCCACGACAAAGAACTATATGTATAGTGTAATGGCAGCGATAGTAGTTATTGAATTGATGGTTTTTTAATGCGCTGTGCCGAATTCTGAGCCAGTGAGAAGGCGATAGAATGTACTAGTGGTATATATATGGTCAAGTTGAAGCACGCTGACATTCAAATGAAGCGTTGCTTTAGGTTGCACACGTCTGTCACCCATCTAACAATACTTCCGTGGGGATGTTAGGGAGACATGGATGAATTGCAAGAAAAATTCGTAAAGTCACAGTCTCTTTAAGGGACATCACACTTCCTGACTACTATAAACTACCTAGTTAGGAGAACAACGCGATATTCTCGTCCACCCTTCTAGTCACAAACTCTCATGTGTACCAGAATAGGTGTTTTTCTCGTTCCTGACTTTATCCACTGTAAGCTAGTGATCAGCATGTTAGCGTAGGATTAATTGATAGTTTGACGTTCACATGTGAACATGCTCGCCCAGGTCTCAATTTAATGGTCGAACGTTTGTCGGTTGATCGCCAGTTCTCATCACCCATGTAGAGTCGAGTCATTAACCAGAATACACGGTGGTTTTCTTCGGATTAGTGTTCAGGATACTACTGCTGATGTCCAATTGCGGATGAGCCGATTGGGCTTATCAAGACGCAACATTGGCGTTGCGGCTGCGAATCGATGAAATGGCGTTCTGTTTTACCTCCGGAATCTCTCTGGTGGGAATCCAGTGTTGAACTTAACGAAGGTGATTGAGCTCAATGATAAACTTCTTTTGCGCATTGCCTGGAATTACTGCCGTCAGTTGCTACTTACAATGAAGATCAAAACATAAAGCTCCTTGGTTACCTTATAGCAACGGAGGCCAAAGTTAGTTTGACGCATTGGAGCTACAAAGGGAGGACACGCTTACAAAGGCATTGAATGTATTGGATCTACCTTGGGGTGCCGGACCTACTGGTTTCGTACAGCGTTAAAAATTCTGTCGCTTGAGGCAAGAGGACTCGTTTCCCGCTTGATTACGCCAGAATCCCAAACGCTAGGTTTGTGGGATTCATGCTGATCCAACCGTTGATAGACGGATTTATTGATCGTAGCATACGAGAAGCCCTATTTTTCGATGATCTCTCAAAGCTTCCTTGTGACAAAGCCATGCAAATCGTCAGGCTCAAAACAGTTACTCTCGAATAGTCTCGCTTCTTCAACGCAAGTGGAACACTTGAAGTTGCTAAAGTTTAGAACCAAGGTTCCGTCTCAACTGCAAAGGTGAATTTTTGTGTTACCGGCGTGGAAGTTCTCGTCACAGAACGAACTGTCAAACATGTCTGGCTTGCACAGCAGATTGTGGCAAACGGGGCTAGTTCGCCCGATGCTGTCGCTCTCGTCGAGTAGCAGTAGTTGACTAAAAAAGGAGTGATGATCCTTCTCCATGAATTACAGAAAATATTTTTCGGTCAAAAGTCAGGTTATCCGGAAAAGCGACAATTTTTTTGATTGATTCTAACCTGCTTTCCCTTGATGTCCGTACTATTACGCTCCATAGGCCCCACACAACTGTGCCAGTCGCTATGGGACTAGATTCGGTATCACACATAGCAATGAAGTCACCCAAGATTTACGGCAGTCATTCGTATGACAGTCCATGGTATCCGACGTCTTGCAAATTTGACGCATACACAAACGGCAGTGTACACATTGGAGGATATGTATTTACAAAACTTAGTCTACACCCGGCTACATCCGACGTTGCTGTATTTATGGCTTCGGAAGATAGTCCAACACTGCCGGGTCCGAATTCCGGGGTGGCTATTAAGATAGTGCCGTCTATCGATCGAATGCGCATTACGGTGTCCAAAGCCACGACCCCTGGAAGGTCTGTAGCCCAAGCTACTCACTGAAACAATTAGCCGGACTGCGGTGCCGTAAGACGGGCCCACGCGTATGTCTGGGTCTGTGAAAATTGTCACCGCTTTCTGTTTGGTCGGAGGTTTACATGACGTACAGATAACCTTGAGCGCAAATTACCGCAAAGTTAAAGCCAGGCGGTACCAGTATCGAGAAACGAGGACACAAGCGACATGATCCGTCCCTCAACTTGCGATTCAGGGAGGGGATGATGTTGGGTGGGCTAACTGTTGGTTCTGGGTTCACATATGCGCACTTGTGCCCAGCTCGCAATGGAATGGTCGAGCGTTTGTTGATCGATCGCCTGTACAGCGACGAGTCACTAGCCAGGGTACACACTTCCAAGTGTGTCGTGGTTTTGTTCTGATTACCGTTCGTTCGTGCCCTGGGTACTGCTGCTGAGGCCGGATTGCGGATAGTCCTGCTGCGCTTACTGGAATACAACACCGGACCATGTGACAACGCTAGTAACTAAAGGAGTAAATAAGTAAATTAAAAATTAAAAAAAACTAACTATTATTGTCGTCGCTGCGAGACATGCCTGTTAGGCACGATCGGGTAAGAGAATAATTGTACAAAACGTTGATCAGTTGAATCAGGATAATTAAATATCAGATCGGTTGATGATGTATGAAAGGACCGCGGAGGCATAAAATAGTTGACTGATGTGAACTGATGTTGGCACCCCTACAATCACTTTATCACAGCTAACACACATAAGAAAGTATAGTGGCGAAGTATGTACTGGGTCAGATGAAACCTGGATCCTACTCGTACGCTTGGTTTGTTATTACAGAACGATGTAACAGTATGCTCACGTTCTGTACAGTCAAGAAGTTGTTTCGACTTCTGCAACATTCGTGGTCAAGAGTGTATTAGTCAATTAAAGTTCACATTAGTGGTGCTTCCTCAGTCATAGGTGTATGTAGGGCGGAAGATAATCATATTCCAACTGGTTGGCCCCATACAAATCACACAGGTCAAATCTGATCACAATAGACAAAACAGCTCCCGGGTATGAATGACATATTCACCAAATTTACGGCTGGATAGAGCATCCGATAGATGTTTGTTTGCAGCCTTGCAAACGCCTTCCGAAACAGCTATCGCACTTGCACTATTTCGTGGAAAAAGGACTAAATTACAATCAGACGGTAGTGTGGGACTAGGAGTACGATTATGCTCAATGGCTAGCGGTTTACTACTAATAAAAAGGATTAGGTTTAACATGTCCCACAGGATGGCCCGTTGTGGCTTTCAAACGAAAAGGAATAACAACCCTAAACAGAGTACAGCCGAAAACAAAGAACTTGCAGAGCAAACATATGTCCGTTAGATGAATCGTTCACATAGTTTTATGCAACTTAACATATCAGATATTTTGATTTTCTAGAGAATTGGGTGTCGATTGATACGGCTCTAGTTTAACACGACTAGCGCATTGTGGACTTGCTCTTTGAACACGGTTAATGTAGGGGCTGAAATAATCGGTTCTGGTAGTGAATTCCTTAGGTGGCAAATCCGTAGCGAACAGAAGTTCCGTCTACGCTTTAGCTCGCTGTATTGTAATGTCAGTCTGAGACGGTGGCTTCGCAGTCTATTTGATGACTGCGCTTTGGCAGCTGGTAGCACGACTGATTGGGGTTTTTCTTAAAATGTGCTTAATCATGATGAGATCACCACGTAAACGTCGATAGCTTTCACTGAAAACTCCCAAAATACTCAGTCGCTGTTCGTTTTCAGTGCCCCAGCTTGTGGAATTTCCTAGACCAAGCTTGTATTGGATAATCAGCGTGCGGGCGTACCTATGTAGAAAGCAGGTGGGGGAAAATGGATTGGTCAGTGAACGAAACCTCTCATAATTAGCCTTCATTTGTAGACGCCCATTCTTATACTAGAGCAGCTTTCCCCGAGCAAATGTCTTCTTGGATTAATACATCGCGATCTTTCTCGGAGAACAGTGCTGCAGACCATGGTCGCCCAGATTACAGGTCTGAAGCATTTGGTCGCATTGATCTGAGGATGATTGTGGACTGACCATTCGTTAACCTTGTCGAGGTCGTTGGAGCTTGATCGGCCGCCAAACTTCGATTTTGTCAACGTAAAGCATACAGAGTGAGGTAATATAGCTCACTAGATCGTTAGTTAAAATTAAGATTAGATGGCGCCCCAACGCTGCACCAAGTGCGGCAGTATATTTGTGTAGTCGTTGCTTACGGACTCGCAAGGCTGCCTTTCAGTAGGGGCTGAACCTGTACGCATTATGAATGCCGCCAGCCAATTTATGCTCCACCCACCGCAATTGCTTACAAATCAGTAAATGCAAACTACCGCCAGTACCTGATCTGTTTCCAATTTGGTGTGGTGCCTGCTCCCACTGGTAACTGCACACGTCTCTGAATTTTGTAATCACCCACAAGGCCTAATGCCCCAACACTCTATACACACACTCTGATATCATCTAACTCATAAAGGCTGGCCTGTCTGATATCAGTTGCTGTAACGATACTTGTGAGGCCCCAACCAATATGACTCACTGGGTAGGGAAGGCACACGACCCATCGTGCCACGATATTGTGCCATCTCATATCGGTAACCAAATTACGCCGCATGGATAACGATGACCCAGGTGTGGCCATATTCACGAGGTCTGGCTAGCAAACTCAAAAAGGCTATGGTGTTACACATCTATTG